TAAATTCCCCCCACCACCCCGGCACCCCGAAACCCTTTCTGGGGAGCAGGAAGGTAAATGAGAATTGGGCACTGGACATCAGCAAATGCCTCTGTGAGCATGTTGCTACCCGGGGGTGATGGATGCCCGCCTGCATTGCTGCCTGGTCCTGCTCGAGGAGAGCCCACGCCTTCACAATTTCCCTTTGTTTGCCTCAACCTAACGCGCTGTTAGTTTGGCTGCGACGCGGCTGTGAAAGCAGAAATATGAACTTTATTACGACACATATCCGCTCGGGACTGGGGGGCAAGGCGCGGCCGCACGCGGCAGGCAGCTCGCTGCCGGAGCAGGGGTCCGGCCGGGATGCTGGGTGTTGGGGCTGGCGTGGAATTGGCTCAGCCCCCCCTGCACCACTGCCTTCTGGCTCCTTGGACCCCAAAACAGCGGCTCCTCTCCCCCCCAGAGCCACAGGCTGGGTTCACATCCCACCAGCCCATGCTTCAGCTGAAGCTGTAGCTTGTTAGCAACCTCGGTGCAGGGCGGGTCGAAAATGTCTCATTGAAATAGTTTTTACAAGGTGAAAAAAGGGGGAGTAGGGCTGTCTAAAGAAGTGATTTCTTTTTCTGCTTTGGCAAAGAACGTCTGTTTTCAGTGGAAAGAAAAAAAAAAAAAAACCCATGAAGAAGCGTTTTCATTAAAAAATTGAAAACGCTGAAGACCCAAAGCTTTCCAGCCAAAAATACCCAACTCAGGCCAAAAAGCTTTCCGTTTCTTGTTGAAACGAGTCTTTAGAGAGAAAAGAGCTGAAAGTTTCTGCGGGAAACCCCAGCATCTTCTAATCTGGCTTTTGAATGTTTGCTTGATTCCTTTAGCTGCGTCTCAGGTTCAGGATTTATATCTCTTCCAGCAGACAGCTGAGAGTTAAAAAAGTTCATTTGCAGGATTTGCTCTTATTGCTGCTCCTGCGCCAGCTGAAGCCCTGCTTGCCTTCACATCCACCGTAGGAGAAGAGGAAACCTCAAAAAACTCCATTTGCTGAGCTCAAAATAAAATTGTTTCCTGTTTTACCGTTCTCGCCTCGTCCCGAGGAGCGAAATGTTTTGTGCGTGGGTTAAGCGCTGCCTGTGCCCCCAGCAGCTCTGGGGGCGAGGGTGGAGGGTGGGAGCAGGAGACGGGTGTTTGGAGGAGGCTGATCTACAGATGCTACATCTAACCCTGTACCTGGGATTTTGTGCAACTCTGCCCTTATATATATGATGACCAAGTTAGCTGTGGCTATCGGAGCAGATGAAGCACGATTTATAAGTGATAAAATCTGAAATAATTTAAAGTCATCCTCAGCAGTGAGGACTTTTTGTATTTTGATGGTGTTGTCCTCACCAGGAGGCTGGGGAGACCACAGAGAGGTGATGGCAGGGAACGTGGGGGTAAGAAAAGTCATTTCAAGGGCTTGGTTTGGGAGAGGAAGGAACAGGAGGAGTTTGGCGAGAGCAAGAGCTGTGGAAGCAGGAGCAGCAGGAAGGGGTGGGAGAAGAAGGGGCTGTGCAGTCCCGGCGGTCCCACCCCGGACCCGGTACCTTTGCAGGCCTTGCGGTGGGAGATGGGCTTGCTGAGGTCCCGGTAGAAGCCCTCCTTGCAGTAGTGGCAGTGCCGCCCCGCAGTGTTGTGCCGGCAGTTCAGGCAGACGCCGCCACTCTTGCGCCCCGACAGCTTGTAGAGCTCCATGTTGAAGCGGCACCGCCGGGCGTGGAGGTTGCAGTTGCAGGCTGCGAGAGGCAAAGAGTGGAGACTGTCAGCATCTGCACCCGGCCACGGAGGTGCCAACCCCGGGGGAGCCCGTGTGCGTGGGGCTGGGCACCCTCGAGGTCCTGCCCGGGGTGCCCCGCCGCAGCGGGGGTGTCACAGGATGGGATGCTCTGGTGGCACCTCTGGCTATGGGAAGCCAACTGCTAACCCGCATCCCTCCTTGACCAGTGCTATGTGGTGAGTCCAGCTTTTTGGAGGGGAAGCTGAGGTCACCAAGAGCTTGTTTCACCATCGTGACTTGCAACAAATATGCCTTTTGCCTCTCCCCACTCTTAATGTGAACTAAAAGCTGGGTGCAGGCAGGGCTGCGAGGGCGGGGAGCCCATCCGTGGTTAGGAAACAGAAACGGCAACGCACAGCCCCCCGGCTGCTCCTCCGGCTTTGTCGCAAGCGCTTTGCCCTATGTGAGCACTGCTTATCTCCCTTCTCATCCGTTCTCGCACTGTGGTGCTTCGTAGGTAGCACGTAGGTAGCTTACCAGTAGCATGGTATCATGCTACTGCTCGGTACAAAGCCCCCCCCCAAACTGCTGCAAAACCCCCCCCCGCTTCCCAACATCCTGGGAGCCCCCTCTGTCTGCCCCTGGGGGAAAGGGGGTTTCCAACATCACCTGCCCAACTTTCCTGGCATTCCCACTCTCACCAGTCCTGACACATGTGTGTTTGAGCTCCAAATATCATTTCAAGACCTTCCTAGCTAGCTTCTTCCCCGGCTTTCCTTCCCGTGCTTGGTACCCATAGCACAAGGCTCTGTTACGTGTCTGCAGCCCTGAACTTGCTGATAAAACCTCACCTCTGCCTCCGCATCTCTCATCCTGCAGCTGGGACAGGGCCAGCCTGACGCCCAGTTAGTCAAACACCAAAAAGTCCCCCTCTGCTTTGATTGCATGTGCTGTGACTGAACCTGCCGGGAGATGTCCAATTTCTCCACCATATGCAGCCTAATGTCAACACAGGGACTATTTTAACAGGGGGCCTTTGCAAAGGACAACTTAAGGACTTCAAAAGCTCGACCCCTCGCCTGCCTCTCCCCAGAGCTGTCACAGGAACATCAAGAGGCAGTTGCTGGGGCTCTGTGCTTTGCCGAGAATTTTATAGCTTGTTTTCTTTTCCCTTTGCTTTTATTTGCTCTTCACCCCCGAACAATGCATCTGTGCAATGCCATCCCACAGCTGGGCCTCTCGGCTCGGCACGAAGGTGTCACGGCTCTGGGCTTGTCACCTTCCTTTAGAGCAGAGACATCTTAATCCCTCATTCCTTCCTGTTTACCTTATGGTGCTTGCCCAAGACAAAGACATGCTATATTTGCTTAATTATCAAATTTCAGCCCAGAAAATTACAGTGCAGTTCTGGATTATTTATCAGGAACAATCCCCAGCTAACTCATGACATGAAAGCAAACGGGAGAGCAAAATCCTCTGGACACGTCCGACCAGCAGGACGGAGACTGCTCTCTCTGTGCTTTGCAATCTGAATTCCTCTGGCTGACGTGGTGAGGCCCAACCTCACGTCCCCACCAAACGCTGGCAGAGCAGGAGAAGCAGCCACCAACACGCTAATGGTGAGAAGAGCGGCCCGAGAGCGGTTTGCCAGCGGTGAAAAAGTGAGATTCCTGACACCGAGTGGGGCCACAACTTTGAACTGCGGTTTGCCTCTCCTTAGATGAGCCCACCAGCCTGCGGGTGCATTTGTCATCTCCCAAAACAGGAGACAACCATCAAGGAGGCTGGAGACACAGCTCCTGCATGCAGAGGGAATTGCTGCTGTTTAGATCTGGCTGGGCCCACAGACACATTTGCTGATGCTGCAAGCGCACTTAAACAGCCTGTTTGCATCTAAAAGAAGCGCGGGAGCACACACTGGGCGCTTTCTGCGTCCCCCCTCGTACTTTTTTCCCCTTCCACCTTAATCTCAGGAAAAGCACTTTGTGCTTTGCTAGGAGCACCCCAGCAGCGGCTCAGCTATGGTATTCCCCCTTTCTCACAGCGTGCCGAGCAGCCCCCGCCAGCACGATGGCTCCGTCGCAGTCAGCGCAGTACAAATAGGGGATTAGGGGTGATTCCTGCCCTGCAGAATGCATGAGCTAAGCTTTCGGGAAGGAGGCGGCATTTTTGAAGTCCCAATCCTTGTTTTACAGAGAGGCGACCGAGGTGCTGAGATTAAACCTTTTTCCCGGGCGTGCAGGAGCACAGGGCTGAAGGCTGGTTCCTCCACTGAGGGCAGAGCCTTCCCCCAGGCGTGGACCGGCTGAGAGTCACACCAGGGCTGCCACATGAAGGATGTCCTCTTGGCTATAGCTAACCACCAAGGCAACACCTGTATCAATGGCACGGCCTCAGGACTCAGCTCAAGCAGAGGAAGAAATTAAGTCCCTCAGTCTGAGGGTCTGTCATCCCTGCTGCAGCCTGTGACCATGCAGGCACATCTCCATCGTTCAAAGCCTTGAGACTCACTAGCAGCTCTGACTCTGGTGCTGCAAACCACAGGATTTAGTGCCTATTGACCAACATGAGGAGACATTTCTCCAGGGGGTGGCATGGCCTCACAGAAGACCTAGTTCTTCATTGAAGTTGGCAGAAATGTGTGTTTTCCAAAGAGCATGAAAGCTCACCTCCTCCTAAAACCTGTATTTTAGGAGAGCTGGACTTGGTACTTGAGTGTTTTGCAAGATTGCATTGGCAAATCCCTTTTTAAAATTCAAAGCTGAGTGAGTGAAAATCTTGACATTTCTTTGGGTTGCTTGATAAGCAGAAATGTTTTTGCAAAGCCAGGAAAACAGAAATCCTGGGATTTTCTCAAGATCTTTGCAAATATTTCAGCTGGTCCCACCAGGGCAGAGCTGCATGGGAATGTGGAGGAATAAGTGGAGTGTGCAGAGCTGCTCGCAGCCCTGCTCCCGGGATCAATTTTATATTGATCTTCCAGGGATGGGAAAATCCAGTGTCTGGAGAAGGGAAGAAGCTGAACATCACAAGAAGCTGCAAGGAGCTCCCCAAAACAGCCGTCCCTGTCCTCATCCAGAGCAAACGACCTAAAGATTGTGTATGCCTTGGGGTATAAACCCTCCCAGGAGGGAGTGAATGAGCTGGGAGAAGGTGTGGGCTGGGGGAGCCCCTCTCCATGCCCAGTGTCCCTGCACTTGGCCTCCCTGCCAGCTCCCCGCAAGCACTGCAATCAGCCTGGGGGCGATGGCCACCCCTTCACTGTGAATTCTCAGGTTTTTTTGGCTCCGTCAGCTTAGCCTTGGCTCTGTCCCCTCCTTCCACCTGCACTCCCAGGGCACCGAGGACATCCGTTGGGCACCGTTTGCCTCCTAACCCCATGCACATGGATGCTTTTCCATCATCCACCCCCTCCTGATCCACTTGTTTGTGCAGACAGAAGGGGCCAAACCGACTCAAGGAGAGTGGTTTTAATTGAAATTACCGTCTCCTGTGCTCACCCTGAGTGCCTGGGTCTTGAGTGGCCAGTGCTGTGCACCACTGGCCACCAGCCAGTGCCAGCTGGCAGCTCTGTCTGTAGCCTGATGTGTCTGCAGATGCCCAATGGAAGAGGCTTGGTCTGACTGAAGGGAAATAGCCATCCTATTTTTTCCTTACAATAGTGCATAGGGACGGAATAGTTAGGGCAATGCAATAAACGACGCATCTAGGCGTCAGAAAGTCCTTGCTGGGGACGAGCTGGGACACGTCGTGATGGGATCCATCACACTGGTGCTACAGCCTCGGAGAAAACCATTGGTGCGGGCCCAGAGATGCTGAGCGCGGGCAATGCTGGGGCACACCGCTATTGTTGGGAGCCGTTAGGACCGACAGGGACCCAGCAGCAGGTCATGATGCTTTTGGATCCCAGCTCCAAATCTGCGCAAGGTCCCTGGGTGCCATGGGCAGGGCGTGCGGCTCACCCAGCCACATCTTCCCTGGACAGAGGCACTCAGGAAACGTGGCTCCTGCCCACCCTCTCCCTTGGCCCGACGGTTAATCCCCCGCTGTGCTAAAGCATTTTGCCTCGTTCCTAACATGAATTGGCCTGGCTTTAATTTCCAGCCAGTGCTTCTTCGTTTGAATTTCCCTGCCACAGTAAGTGGCTCTTTAGCAACACATCTTTTCTTTCTATGAACGCCTTCACCAGCTGTAACTAAAATCACCTCCCAATATTGGTGGATCACCTACACTCCCCAAGCTTTGCTTTTCACCCCGTAGAGAAGACACCCCTGCACAGGCTGCAGACCCAGCGCAGACCCAGCTATAGGCAAAACATGTGCCAGGTGCTGAGTCCTCTCCGATGAAAGGTTTTGGCTCCAGTTGCTCAACTAAGCTCAGTGCTGCTGTCTCCTGCTCTCTTCTTTCTCTTATTTTGCCAAAGATCTCACAAGCTTTTTGTTTGCTGATTTTATTGCACACAGATGTACGGAGCTTCATCAAACAGTCTCTACCTGGGCCACCAGGCTCCGATATGAATAACCAGATATTATTTAAATGCAGATGTTCAGAAACCTGGAGAAGGTCAGAGTGGAAAAGGGGAAAGCTGTGGTTTGGAGCCGGGTGAAGAAACTACAGCAGAAGCATCTCCGCATTAAAAACTGTGACTTGGTCAAATGAATCCGTCGAAGAAGGTCAAGGCGGGCAGGATTTTCCATTTGGGAGAATGAAAGGAGATACGTGAATGGGAGGCGCAGGCTGGAGCTGTGCGGTGGAAGCTGTAGTTGTGGTCTTTTGTGCTGCCGCCGTGTCCCCTGGGCCCCGCGTCCCAGCGCCCTGCGTCTCCCCAGACACATTCCTCTCCGCGGTTTTCATTCAGCAATGACAATGCTGCCCTTTCAAAAGACCCCACCCTTCCAAAACTTACATTTTGGCAATTCCCAAAATGCAAACTGCTTTTTTAAACAAACAAAACCCCCAAAACATTTTGTTTTAATTTTTGCA